CTTCTGTTATCTCTGTATGGTACAACCACTGATAGCAGTTATTGCACGTCTAATGAGATGTTTACAACTCTAAAATAATGATGTAGTGTAAAGAAATCCAGGCCTGCTAAAGATGGGAGAGGTCTTGAGAAATGGAGAGCCACGGAGGAGTACATGCACAGGATTGCATGAAATGTGGCACTGGGCTGGCACTGGAGAATACAACAGCTATGAGAAACTTCACAGAGATCAGTTAAAGACAGGCAGACTTGGCCCTGCACAGAAGTGGTTTTAAGAATAACAGACAGAACAAACTGTATCTTACATGCATAAAAGGCACCACATAAAGTAATCTGGATGCAGCATGAAGCTACAGACCAGTGAAGAGAAAATGAAGGCACAGAAATGTGGTACCAAACACACAAATATAACCACAAATAGATTCTGGAGTAAATGGAAAGAAACAGAAAACCATATTGCTCTCAGTGTTCATATTGCAATCAGTGAAGGACCTCAGATGCTGGCAAGCTTCAGTAACACCCAACACCGTCTGAGCCCAAGGTCTGCTGCCAGCCCACAGACCACGAGGTGCAGCGTCATGGGCAGAACTGCAGAAACCATGGAGGAACAAATGAGTATGTGTAACAGTCTCAACTGCAATATTGTCTATTTTTGTTTGTCTGTTTTGGGTTTTTTGGTTGTTGTTCTGGTTTGGTTTGGTTTTGAGGATTTTTAGTTGGGTTTTTTGGTTTGATTTTTTTTGTTTGTTTTGCTTTGTTTCTTTTAGCTCTTTCAGAATTAAATCTGAACTAAGAATAATCAGATTTTTAAGTTCATGAAGAAGAAATTCTAGCCTTTATATAAGAAGTGCATGTTTCTTCTTTGCCCATAAACAAGATTTGACACCCTATAGCCTTGCTACTCAGTGGCTCTTAAACCATTAATGCTACAGCACCATAAGTGCAATACTACCATGCCAGAAAGAAGAAACATAAATGCATCAGGCCAAGGACTGTGAACTCTGCAACTGCATCTTAACACAGAAGTACTTCAGTCTTCTTTATCTCAAGGTTTGCTGTGCTTTAAACATAAAGGGCAGGAGTAGGTTTAGAACACTGAAATCAGAGTTTCCATCTTTCACCAGCTGGAAAGTTTTATATTCATATTTGATCTTCATTTCTCTTGGAGTCGCCCAAGGAAGCGAATGAGAAAGCTGGTGCAGACACAGTATGAACCACGCAGGGTCAAAATGCTCTCCCACTATTGCATCTCTCAGTCCCAGTTCTGGGGATTCACAGCTAGTCAGTCACTGCAACTGAATACTACTTCACATTAAATACACTATATTTTAGTACAGATCTCAGGGTATGAAAGTAGCACTGCCCCTTTGTCCCATATTTCTTCTTTCCTTACTTTAAGCAACTTCTCCAGTTCACCATATTTCCCCGTCAAAAGTCTCAACTGAAACAAGTTACGCCATGCCTACTCTAGCTGTGATTTTATTTCACTTCCTTCTCTTTCTGCTCTGCTTTGGTGCCAACACCAAATAATGCTTTCAGCCCTCCAGCAGCCAGTTGAGGAATCTGTAAGCAGACTGAGGATAATTTCTGTTATAAGTATCATCATAGAAAGAGTGGCTGAAATCCAGGTACATAAACGCATAACCAGACACTTGAAGGATTTACAGTTTAAATACAAACATCAGAGTGCAAGAAAAAGAATTTTAAACCAATGTATACACAAAAAAAGGCTCACAGGTTAAGTAAGCTTTGGTCACAAGTTAAACTTTTGAAGCCTAGCACCTTCACTACAACACTGTCAGCTGCTAGAGGACATCAGTATGGACTTGAAAACCCAAGGCTGCAGGGAGAGATAACAGCACTTGACAGCGTGGATAAACAGTGCACTATCTCACCCACCTGTTTATCCTGAGTTCAGATTGACATGAAAGCAAAATCACTTCTTGGAAACTGACCACTAGTCACCTTTGTAAGACAAAATACTGATTTTTGAAAAAGATAAAAGAACTGGTGAAGTGTCATTAAGAAATTAAGCAAAGATGCCAATAACATTCTTTTCTGATGAATCAGGACCCTTTCCAAGAGGATACTGCAGTTTTGAAGCCGACTACAGAGCCTTTCTGTATGTAAAATTACTGAGGAGAAATGAAATATGACCAGAGGAGCCACAAATGGATTTCTGCCTGACAGCTTTCAGAAAATTAATATAAGCTTCATGCATTAGAAAACAGTGTAAACATATAACAAGATATATGCAAAATGGCATTCATAAGAGAAATACTTCATCTTCTTAGCTACAGCAACAATAACAAGAAAAACTACTAATATTGGCAATTCCTAGACTTAAGTAGTTATTATCATACCATAACAATTTATACAATTTTCATGCCCTAATAATGCCCTAAAAGATCTCCCATGAACACAGACATGCATACACAGACAAAATTCAAGCATCCCCCTCACAGGCTGTCCCTTGTAGAATAGACAGAGGAAGCTTGGGTCCCTCTGCTGTTAGCTAGTTCAGACCTGCACCTACACCTCAGAGTCTGCACCAGTGCAAACCTCCAGAGGCAAGTGTAGGTCAGGAGCCCACAGAATTGGTCCTATTTACCATTCAAGGTTTATATAGTTCAATTTAAATAACAGAGTGCATTCTGCCACAACACAATGTTTCTGGCCACGCCTTGGCTTTCTGCAAGACAGAAAAAAAACCTTTGGCAGATAAAGTTACCTCATTTGCAATAATAAAGTAACTGCTTTTACAAATTCCAAAGTCTGAACAGGTCTGCTGTCTTGGACTGATCTCCAGAAAAAGCTTTAATTAAAAAGTGAGGCGCACAGTACCTTTAATAGAGACAGCTTAGAAGATATTCTCCTTGCATAAGGGTTCTGTTGTACTGAAGTACTTATAAAACCTCTTAAATTAGATACTTCCCATTGTTCTTTATCAAAACTCTTTCACTCAAGAGATTTGTGGTTTTCCCTCTTGGTGAAGTTTTACTGATTACTTAAGCATTCATTGTAAGTATGTTAGAAATCATGGTTACAAAGTACCACAAAGCAGCTTCCTGTTAGGAGTACTACTGTAACAAATGCACATTTTTCGAGGAGGATTGTTAGAACACTGAAGAGAAAGGAAGGCAAATAGAACACGTAAGGAAAGAGAGGCTGTCTAGACTGACATTAGTGGTGAGCAGCCGTGAAATGAAGTGTGTGGCAGAGGATCGTCCACGTTTTCAACATGCCAGACTGTGCAGAGGATGTGATTTTCTGGATTCACATTTTCCTGGGAAGATAATTCAGCAATGGAAAACACAGCTGCACTAGCCACATGTGCTGCTTGACACAGTCTGAGCAGTAGACCTATTTAAATGTACCATGCTGAGATCACAGACTCTCACCAAGGTTAAAGAAATCAATGCAAAACCAAAATAACTTCTTCTCAAAACCCCTACTTGAAGCCAGATCATTCAATTTGCTTACTAATATTAAATTTCTTTTGTACCTTGTAAACCATATGCTTACTGATGAGACTTACCAGATTTAACAACTGCATATAATTTTTTACATAATATAAATAGCTAAAATAATGTAGGAATTGGTCGAGCATGTTTTAACAAGAAAAAGATACAAAAGTATTTTTCTTTCTTAGCTATCATAAATTTGGAAAATTTGTATGTTTTGCTCTTGAAAGTAACATCTAAGAGACTGCAGATGACATGACTGTACAAATCAGATACACATGACGTTCATACACACTGTGCTTGTGCACCATCATTTCATTAACAGAAACAATGAGGCCTGGAATTTTTAGGGACTCACACCTAAGAATCTTTAAACGCATTATAAAACAAATAGTCAATATTGTGACATCCAGATCTTGGAAATGCTCTTTAATCTCAGCTACAGAGAAGCATTTTACAAAATAAGAACAAGTTTTCAAAAGGTCACAATGCCAATTTAAGCCTTTAAGCAAAACAAAAACCCTTCCCAAGGATGAAAGAATACATGCACACCATAATGAAAAGTCTCATAACATGTCCCAGACCCATTACATTTCAAAGCTGGTTCTTACATTTAATTGAGAGACACAGCCTCTAAGTATCTCTCTGTCAGTCTTGAATCCACAATGATAAACATACCTGAAGCAGGAATAATTTCTTGAGTAGATATTACTTCGATAATTAGGGCTAGAATCTTTATTCTTGCCGGCCACACAGTATTTTGTAGCATGAAATTTATCATGAGAAATTGCATTTTAAAGGCATATTATACATCATTAGTCTTTCAACTAAATTTCAGAGGAAACAAAGAATGTGTTACTCATTTTAAGACCCATTCCTGGCCTTTCTCCCCTGACCTCCATCAAAACTTGCATCAGTATCTGTGGCCTTTCATTCTGTTCTGCTACAGATGGTTTGAAGAAGGAAACCATGTTTGTATAATTGTTAAGAACATGTAACATTTTCTGTTAGATTTGTGAACAAAATATTTACATACTAAAGATTAATATTTTAAATAGCAACAATCAATTCTTTGCTCAAAGAAAAACACTTGTTTTACAATAAATAAATGCAAACATCTTTTAAAATATTATTAACTGCAAAGTTAACTCAAAATGCCATTAGTTAAAAGTCAGGAAATGCTGAAAAGCTTCTCATTTAGAAGATTTAAATGTCCAATTTTTCTTTAACCACACTGATTAAATATCACTGTATTTATTCCCTTCTCAAATGCATTATTTCACCACAAAGCAATAAGAAGGCCAATGAAAATACATTCTGGTTTGATTTTGCACAGAAAAAAAAAACTTGTCTGAGTTGAATTAGAAAAAACTACATGCAGGAAAGAGTCATAAATCCTTGTTTGCAGGATACCTAACTGTAGACAGTTCCACATTAAACCAGTATTAAGAGGCAGCATTAAAAATAAGTCAGAATGATTAATAAAAGCAAACCAAACATTACCAAAGGAGTAGCATAATTAATTTAAAACACCTACCTGCTTCTGCAGCCATCGTTCTCTTCTTCTGTGTTTTCTTCTCAAGCTTTTCAACTTGTTTCTTTCTCTCTTACTCAGCTTTTGGTCAATGGAAACACTCGTAGGCTGCACAAGTCCAGCAGGTGTGATGTACTGTTTGCCTTCTACAGCCCTTGTAGGTGAAGAAATGTTCATCACAAATGGTGACCCATCAGCAGTGACACTCCCAGGAGATTGTCCAGTAGCTTCGAGATCACAGTCGCTTTCTGTTTCTCTGTGCAGTAATGTGGTAAAGGAAGTAACTTGAAATTGGTTTTGTAGTTTGTCAGCACTGGAACTATACAGGTCTTGAAAGGAACTACCATCTTTTCTATTGGACTCTAACTGCAAGACACTTGGTGTGTAAACAGATGGATTTTCATTTTGGCCATGGTGAATTGTTCCCATACTGCAAGTTTCATATAACACAGGTGACAAAACAAGTCTCTCTCTGATATTTAAATCCAAACTACATGATCTTCTGTGAAAAGGTTTCACAGTGCATGCATCATTCATGAGACAAGAAGACAGGCTTTTTTTTTTACTTAATGCCTTTAAGGGAAGTCTTTTACTTTTCATCTCATATCTGGGAGCTCTTACTTCTAGACAAAGAGCTTCTGTTAATCTTCCAGTACCATTACAATTTCTGGCCATGTAGGAAAGCCCTTGATTTTTGATTTCCAAAGTTGCAGTTACCACTTCATGGCAGGTATCCTTGCTAAAAGCAGACTGAATTTTGAGGAGTGGCAAGTGTTTTCCTGATGATTTTGGCAAGTTAAGAGAGAAAGATGGCTGATAGTCAGTCCGAGTTTTGCAGAAATGTATATTTACTAACTGTCCACAGGAACATTTTTTGTTGCAAACAAAGTTAAAGCCCCCTAAGCAGGCCTCACAGAATGGACAGTGCAGCTTTCCAATTGTCCACTGTGCCTATTGACAAGAAAAGAAAAAAAACATGTTCACTGAAAATAAATGAGTAAGAAATAATTATTAGAGTTATTTTCTCCTTTAATAAAAGGGTTTACTTTTTCAAACACCATAAAAGAGACTTCACAGCAGAAAGAAAATCCATCATAAATAATGTTCTGGTCAAAACTCTGCTTGCTATAGTGATAACTAATTCTAAGAAATCTAGAACACACACTTCAAAATGCAGGAGCTTTGAAATATGTTTAAAATTTGTCCACTGATAGAGTAATGCTGCAATACTAATGAAAACATTAGATTCTTAAAGCAGGGAAATCAATTTGCCATGTTAATCTGGAATTGGCAAGCACAGTTTCTCAGCTGAGTGTTCTGAGTGCTGATACATTTCTTGCATACTAAGTACAGTGGAAGGAGATTTCTTACAAGAAGAATATAGCTTTTCACTTTGCTTACCCCATGAAAGCTTGAAATGGTACTTGTATTTTGGTGTATGTAGCATTACAACATAATCTCTGTGCAGATACCATGACAAATCCTTAATACTCTTTCTATAAGGAGACAGTTATTTCCATTATTTGTAAGTCTATGAATTTCATTTCAATCCTGAAGGCACTTTTCTCAAAAGGAAATACATACACAGACCTATAAACTCCTACATATTTACACAACTACTAGTACTTCTAGATATTTACACAACTCTTAGTATTTTTAGTAAATATATTCATCTGTCAGGAGAAACACTGTTTAGGATGAAAGTTATCCCAGTGTTTGTAGGATCAAAGCCCAGATGAGAAACAACATTATCAACTCCAGTCACACTTTACTCACTACTGTGCCTAAAGTAGGGTTGAGCCATGCATACAGAAGCTGCCCAACATGTCTAGTTTAAGCACTGCTTTCAGTTGCAAATGTCTTTCCAGAAAAGATGTGTCCATGATTGATCCTTGTTTTATGGAAAGCTACAGAAAATTTCAGTAGAGCCAATTCTGCAGTTTCAGAAAAAAAAAAAACCCAATCAACTTGTTTGGGAAAAGAAGGTTATTTTTCACATATAATGCTAGAAAAAGTTCTGGAAACACTTCTTTGAGAAACTTAGTCCTGCCTTGTGGGTTAAAACCTCAAAACTACACAAAATATCAAAAATGTGCTTTTCATCGCACCTATGAGAATCTGTTTAAATCTGAAAAGGTTTTTAACTTGGAGAAAAACAATCGCAGCTTACATATAACCAAAGGCTTTCAGCCCTTGAAAATTCCTTGAACGTGCACAATCTCTCTCTGTTTCTGAGGCTGACCAATGTGTGCATATGCCATTCCCAAAGAAGAATTAAGCTTGTTCAGAGACTTACTGTAAGACACCCACGCTCCATTTCCCAGATGCCAGGGGCTAGGCACTGAAATTAAGGGAAAAGCACTTTCCAGTGACTTTATTGAAACTTTGTGGCATGGAATAGTAACCTGGATCTTCAAATAGAGAGTGATTCATGAAGATTAAGGAAGAAGGCTAGGAGTTTGGCAAAAATGGGAATACAAGAGATAGCAGGGAATAAAAAGGACATCTCTGTGTCCCATGTGCACAGAGACTGGGAGATGAGATGTGGTACAAAGGAGCCTGGGACCGATTTAGCATGAGTTTGGCAACTGACTGTGGAAGCATTGACTCAGTAAAAGAAGCAACAGCCCACTAGTGGAGGAGGTGGTAGGGGGAAAATCAGCAAGATCTGAAAAGGAGCTGAGGGTACACAGATTTAAGGATGGACTGCATAAAGAGGAAAAAACTGGGAAAGGTTAGAAAAAGGAAACAAAACAAGTGATGAGTGATGGGGAAAAAAAATGGAGGTCAATAAAGGTCACTAACAACACTAGCTCTATATTTCTAATTACTGAAGATTATCTATACACTAATGTGTGCATGAAATCCAATGAGGTTGGTTAAGAACAGGGACAGATGGCAAAGAAGAACCGGCTGGGAAGCAGTGGGTTTTTACAGCCTGCAAATAGACTTTGCACTTATGTAAAATGATTTAGCCTTTGATTCTGGAGTCATACAGGAGAAAATAACACATGATCACAAAATTATTCAGAACCCAGGAGGATTTGGAGATAAGTCAGAATTGTTTAAAAACCCCACACACTTATCCACAAACCCACAGGATCTTGCCAGAGAAGCCAGAGTGGATGAGGCAAGAGTTCGCAGGACATTAAATGCCAAAATGAACACAAAGATGTTGAAGGTGTTCATAAGAGAACTGCATTCCCTGCCTTTGTCACCAGAGGACAACTGCTCCTCCACGATCTCGAGCAAATATGTCAAGTCTTTTCTGGGCAGTCTATGAATTTTGTATTTCCCAGGGCTCCAACCCTCCGAGTTTTCAAATACAGAAGCTAAAGGTGAAAAGAATAATACTCCTTTTAATATTGAATCCAGTTTTACTGAAATAGTATAGAAGGTGAATTACTGTAAAAAACTATATCCTTATGTTTAAAGATTCATGATTAGTCAAGTCTGTAAAGTGAGGAAATACCCCATGACCCATAATTTTCACACACACCTCCAAGATTAATGTTTCTGAAACAGATTCACTATTCTGTTATGCGTCATTGAAGTATAAGAGATTGTTAATTTTAAAGAGTTCCTTTGTGCATCATTTTCAGCACAGATTTGCTCAGAACACAAGCTACTTGCAACACAGTAAAACTTAACACACCAAACTCTTAAGCAGAAAAGAATGTAGATATCATTTGCTTATCAAAATCAAGGACCCATCAATGAACATCTGTAGGGCAAAAGAAAAGCATTGTTTCTGTTTATTAATATCTATGCAACAGCATTAATTTCTAGACCTAAAACAACATAAAGAAGATACTCAACTGAATTTTTTTGAAACTGTAATTTCAAATGGGCAGTTAAGACTCAAGAGCAGTGACAATGGCTTGTCTTCAGATCTTGGAATTTGCATCTGCCCATGGCAGGGAGGGTTGGGACTAGCTGATCTCTTAACCGATCTCTTAACAAACCCTCAGTCCAGTTCCATGGAGACACGTGCTTCTTGCTGTCACTGTCAACATATATGCTAGTACATATGATGACCAAGACAAAACTAAACCCAAATCCTTGATAATAAACACAGAACTAAGCATTGACAAATATGCAGAGGCATCCATGACAGTTGTTTGGACAAACACAAATACATTCATCTATAAAAGAGCAGGAAACAGAATTTATCAGTTGTACCATTTCTGTACACATTAAAAACAAAACAAAACATTTAAGAGAGGAAAAAATGCATCTGTAAATGGTAATGATAGATGTTACTAAGAATTCCCTAGAAGGTCTCTCCGATATACATGGACCTTGGCAGAAAAGCGTCCTTGAAATTTGTTCCTCTTCCTTATTTCACATTTTGAATGACAAAGATGCAAGCAAAAAAAATCTACCTTTTCAATGACACATTTCACCCACTCTGGAATGGCTTCCAAGTTCACATGCCATACGTTGCAAGACTCCTGAGCAGCAGCTGATAGTTGTGATGTCTGTTAAAAAAACCAATTATCATACTGACATTCAACGTTCATGCAAGCTTCTTTCCTTGAATGCAGCCAAAAGTCAGCTTCCCAAATTCAGTAAATATTAACAAATGATAAAGCTGAAAGATTTTTGTGCATTCTTTAAGCTAAAAATCAAGCAGATGCTGTCATTAATTCTCTGTTTCTGAACTGAAGGATATTGGACACACTCCACAGTGGAGATGAAAGCATTTGGAGGTGGTTTTGTATTGTTTACGAGAACAGAAAGTATGCAATTGCAATCTTCCAAGAATGTTTGGAAATTGATTTCAGAAGCACTGTCAGCTGGTACAATTTTCCAGTAAAGTGAGGAAAATTTAAGTTATGGTTTATATGAAGACTGTGATCAGTACTTCAGAAATGGCACAAATAGCTTAAACTAATTTTCTAATGCTTGTTAGAGTAACTAGCAGAGAAACCAGGAACTCCTAGCAACTTTAGAGCTTTTACTTGGCAAATAGATTTTTTTACTCTAGAGTAAAACTCCTAGCAACTTTAGATTTTGATCACAATGATGGGATCAACTGGAGACAAAAAAGAAATCTAAAACCCTGTAGCATTTCACTGACCAATACCGAAATAAAAATGATGTCCCAACTAAAGTAAAGTTATAAAGATGGCTAAAAATATAAGGAAACTCTGGTGAGAAAGTCTTAAATTCAGTTGTTAAAATTTATGAATATGGAAAATCATGGACTCCTATGTTATGAAAATCATTGGAATAAAACTTCCATTCTGATGAAAACTGAAACTGGGGCTATACCACAAGACAGAAGCTTTTAAAAATTCTGCAAGTATTGACAGCAGACAAATAGACCCACTTACCATGTCTATGCTATTGTCTTCCTCCTATCTGTGGACAGTACCTATACTTCAGTTTGGTTATAATTGTGATTTAAAGTGTTTATACTGTACTGGTAACTTCAACATTTGTTTTAAAATTTGTTGTATGATTTTTCTTTCTTACTCACATTTCAGCTATGTCTTTGAGTGAAGGTCTAAAATTCATTAGGGAAAGTCAACATACTGCAAACATTACTCTTCTCATCACAGTACAGTCCTTGCCTCCCAAAGTCTTCACAGTGATAAATAATAATTTTTTACCTGCTATCTACAAAACTGGACAAGGAGCTTTTTTTATCTGCTATCTACATAACTGGAGAAGGAGCTGGAGAAGCATCATCTTGTGCACAATGATGATGGATTTCCACTCATATCTAAAAACTCCATTATGGGGCATGGACAAAGATATCTTCTTCTTTTCACTGCATTTCTTCCATGAAAGGAGTTGAAATTCCCACATCCCCCGCTAAAAATCGCTTCAAACCACACACAAAAATAAAAACTCAAGTGTAAAGCCTGAAAAACATTCCAGAAGCTCAAGCTCCATAAGCAGAGTGATTAAAATGGGGTTTATGACTAATACTAATATCAGGATCTTAAAAAAACCCCTTTGTTTCTACTTCTCTGGCTATACCACTCTCCAGTGCCAGAAAGAATGTTGTTACATTAAGAATGTGTTAAAAACATCAACATCAACACCTTCTCTTCTATTTGCTTTTTCAGTTTGATTCAAGACCATCGGATGTAAGCACAGGATTCTTGGCATATTTGGAAAGACACTAGGTCTTTATGACTTACTAACTGCCATTATAGAACAGTAGAAAAAACTCTGCCATTGTTTTATTCTGTATCATTATCTTTCTGTTTATTTTAATAAAGATGATACAAATTACTAAGTGGTATTGTAGCCTGGCAGGGCATAAACCCCCTCAGGGCAGGCTAATCTTCTGAACTATTTTTGTGCACAGACTATGGCCCAGTTTTTGAAAATGAAGAGCAAAAGTTCCTAATGTAGGGATGTTTCACACACAGTTAACTACTGCAGTGGAAATTAGCACCAGCCTTCCAAACACACCCTAGACACAAAGAGTTCTCCACTAAGATATATTAAAACTGTCAAAACCTAACCCCATTTTTATGTTAGAACTGTTAATGCTACACATTCTACACAAGTTAGCAGTCCAGTGTCCATGAATCCCAGCCTTTATGCTGCAGAACATAAAGGTGACCACTGCCTACTTGGCTTCACTAGCATAACTACTTATGCTACTCTCCATGGAATTGTCCACACTTTACTACTTACCTCCACAGGAGATAATTACAAAGTGAGGCTAAGTCTAATCCCCTCCTTCAAAACATACACGCTTGCTACAAAGAAACTCTACTTACTTCAGGTGGTTCTTTTCCATTACATTTTGCAAGGCAAACAGAACTTGCTACGTATTTTCTACATCTCCAGCACCGTAGAACATCAGCCTCTTGGTTATTCATTATTTCAGCTTGAGATTTTTCTGTAAAGACCACAAAACATATAATTCAGTCACCTGTTGAAATCACTCTTGCAATCTTGAAGTCTGTAAGTATTCTCCTCACTGTAGAGAGGCTAATACTTTGTTTACAAACATTCTCTGATCATGTATAACGTTTTAAACCTAAATGTTTTAAACAGTAAAGTGAAACAGTTGGTTTTATTTCCAGGTTGCATTAAAGAACTAGAAAGCAATAACAACAAAACAACTAAAGCCAACATCAAACCAACCAAAAATATTTAGACAAAAATTAGGAGAGCTCCATTTTTTCCAGTATTTGTCCACAGAAATTAGTTGTTGCTATCCTAAACATTAAACAAACACACACACATATAATGCCACATAACAAAAAATGAATGCCAACATAAAATCATGGAAGACAGAGACTCTTTCCTCAATATGCCCTGGAGGTTTACTCCCTTTAATCATTTTATGTGGAAGAACTGGCACCACTGGAGCAACAGAGCTTTTTATGGACCTGTATTGTCCTCACTGTGAGAAAGGGACCTAAATTAAGACAAGCAGAAGAGCAAGACAAATATTCTATTTTTCTCTCTTTGTATCTTGCTGTGTTCAGATGTCCCTCTGGTCTTCTCTAATCTATTTACAAAGTAATCCCTTTTTGCCATGCTTTCTCCAAAGGTCCTTCAACTCCCCCTTCTACCGGCTTCTGTTTTTACCCTTGTGCGCTACCTACATGAAAAAATATGAAAATCCTTTTCATCCACACCTCAAGGCCTACACTAGAGTTATGCCTGCTCAGAGTGCTAAAGTGCACAGTGCTCACTGATGAGGAAATTGGAACATAAGACTAAAAATCAGTATCAAAAGAATCTCTGTTCTTCCACAGTTCTAACATCTGATTTTGCAACTATTAGAATATTTGATTTTTATTTAATTTTCTCTAACTAAAGAAACTTTGAGGTCTTCACCATAAGCCCTGTGAACAGTAACTTGCCTTACTGAGCCATACATACTTTTGCATTTTCCCCATTTCTACCTTTCCTTTTTCTGCCCTGTTTTCTGAATTAATCAAAGACTATGAAAACACACAGAGAGGTTAGTCATTACCTTTCATTTATACATGAGGCTTTCATTCAGCAGGTTTTCTACTTTTTCTACAAGCATAAAGAGTCTGAAACACACTCAGAGAAGGACAAGAGGAAATGTATGCATACAATACATTTTCAAAGCCAGGCTGGATGAGGCCATGAGCAACCTGGTCTAGTGGGGAGGTGTCCCTGTCTATGGCAGGGGGTTGGAACTATATGATCTATAAGGTGCATTCCAACCCCTAAAATTCTATGATTCTATGAACAGATTCCTAGCTCAAGTGTACCTGCAGCTTTTAACAACTAGATTCACCCTAAGTTTAGAAAGTGAAATTAAGGCAAACATTAAATATTTTCTTGCAATATCACAGTAAAGACAATAAATTAACATGAACTTTTGTTAAGTTAATGTAAGTTAAAATGGCCAAGCAGAAGATTACAGAAGAGAGACTTAAATAAAAGGTAAGAATTTATACTAGTAACATGGCTTGTTGATGACAAAAATGTGATGATTCAAACAACTTGACTTAAGAAGAATATCTCTCAAGTTTTTACTAACCCAGCTATGTCAGTGCTGCTTTGTACCAGATGCATTTCAAAAGTGTAATGTATAAAACAATGAAACTCTCTATGAAAGAATTTTTTTCAAAAAAGTAAATTCAGACTCTGAAAGATTTTTTCAAGCACATTTTATCACTTTGCTGTGATAACAACAGATATTGAAAGAATGATTATCATTTATGAATTTCTTTATATCACTCAAACACCTGAAAGCTGTTCCAATTAATTTATCCTTCATAATTTAATAAGACACTCCTAGAATGAATTTAATTTTACAACAGCACACTGAGAGCCTCAAATCTAAGACCAGCCAGGAAGGTCTGAAAGACTTTTTGCACAAGGGTACCTCAGACACCCTTTTCAGGTACAGCTATATCCCCATCTAGTCAAATACATTCTTGAAAGGTACTACAGTCAGCGATACACACATTGCATGCTTTATAAGGTGTATTTGTGTATTCAAATGGTATACTTAAGTCTCCATATACATTCTGTTCCCCTCAGAGGGAGTTGCTTCATTTGAGGCTGATGATGCTCACTGGAGCAGGGTAAAAAACATGTGGTATGATAGACCTCTCAACAAACAGAAAAAGGACTGATGAATAAATGCACTTGGTGCATTCAAAAGCCAAGGTACAAGTCTTGCAGACAAAGGCTGTGTATGGATCACTGGCATCCCCCTCACCTATATAATATCTAGCAATCATGCAGTTTTACTGCAAAACTCTTTTATGTATTTATTTATTCATACACTTTGAAAGGTTCTTCTTAGTCCAGCATATACCTTTTATTTAAAATTACACTTTCATAAGAGAAACTAGTGTAATAACACACAGAGCACAGGTTGTACTTTGTGTAACCAAGAAAGCTGATAATGAACTACACGAAAAAAAATCTAGCTCAAGTGGATACTTTTTGACACTATATTACAGTAGGCTGAAGTATTCTTCTGGCCTAGTAGAATTTAAAAAGGAAAAATTCCTATAAGTATTAAAATTCTGTATGTATTTGCCTTTTGCAGTTCTTACAGAGGACACAACAAAGGCTACCAATGCACATTAACACACTGCATGTACCATGTTAGAAAATGGCAAATGAGATGTTTCTGATTTATCACAATTCAGAATTCACTTTGATTTCAATTTGCACATAACTTCAGCTGGAACTCAAAATAAAAGCAGAGGAACACAGGATTTTGAAGTGGTTTTGTAGCTAAATGTAGTTTAACCATAATGTTCTGGATATATTTTACTCAATTTTATTTGTCTTCGTTTGCATCTGAAATGATAAAAAGGCTTCTTGTTCTCAGCTTGATTTGTCTTTCAGTAAAAAGTGCCGACATAAGCATTAAAGTTTCCAATTTGGGACTCAGAAAATAGTGCCACTCTCAGTGGGCCTTTTCAGCTCGGCACTGGGCCATGTTTGTTGTGGCTGTACTGCTTTCAGTTACTTTGTAGGAGCTCATGTTTGCTCCAAAACAGTATGTAGACACATCTGAGCGTTAAACAGCTATCTTCCTCCATGGCTTTTGTTTGATGACCTTCAAATTCTTTCCTATGACTCAGTCCGAGTAAAACCAGTAGCAGGGAGTCCTAAACCTTCCTTTCCAAGTCATTCTCAGTTTCCTTTCCTGAAAAAAGTTTTTCTATCCTGCTCTGATGGACCTTTGATGGAGAATTCACAGCTTTCCAAAACTGTTTCATTACCTTATCTTTTATTATTTTGACTTATCTCTCAACATCAAAACTGAATTTTCTTGTAAATTCCCTTATTTGCTCTGAATATAGGGAACAAAATAGCTCCTTTTCTGTGCAAAGACATTTTACAGCTTTAAATATTTAATATCGATGAGCTTCCCTTCAAACTTGTCTTTGGGCTAAATTAATCTATTTCCTCATAGATCATGCTTTCTTGATCTCCAAGTGTCACTGCTATTTTGTGAACTCTTTCAAATGGGTCAGCTATTCTTGCTGAATGCAAGTTCTGGATGTGAAGTTTTACCAGCATCAAGAAGACTAGACAGCCTATATAAATTTTCAAGGGACAAAAAAAGAATTGAGAAAACCTGTTTATATCTAAATTTCTTACACAATCCAAAATGTATAATGTATTAAGCTTTGGCCATTCCTTCTTGAAAAAGGTGGCAACAAACATAGAGTAAAACCCCAATAACACAAATCTCAGATGTTCAAAATAAATCACTAAACATAAACTCCCGGATTTCTATTGAAGTCTGGTCTAGAATTTCAACTAACTTGCCCTTCATTCCCAAATACATAAAAAAATGAGAAAAAATGAGTACAGCAGCACAAGAGGTTATCGGTGTCTTTTTGTTCAAAAAAATCACCTGTGACCCCTTCAGAACACTGCAGCCATGAAAACTGCAACAATAATTAGGTTGCAGCGAGAAAGTAGGACACAGAAACTTGAACATTAGTTACTGAGAGTCTTGAAAAATTATTAGGTGAGTTTCAGCTTTGAAGGAGGATGACAGAGAGAAGCTAGATGAGCTGTCCTAGCCAAGAAGAGTCCATACCAGAAGTTCCTGCTCCCAGGAAAGGAGGAACTGGCACTTTACTGGACAGAGAAACAATCACGAAAGGCCTTAAGGAATACATAAAAACTTGTTGCTAGTTTCTGATCTCCAAAGTCTTTCTGCTTAGGTATGCTTTTAAAAGCGTGCTTAAACAGTGTTTCTCAATAAAGTAGCACTTAGGTGGGGAGACAGAAAAGAAGATTTAAAGAACAATCTCCAGGCTGCCAGAGAAGGAAAGCATCAAGATGAGTGAAGAGCTGTGCCATCTGCTCCTGTGCTAGCTCCTTCTTGGCTACGAACTGTTCCACCAGTTCAGCTATTGTTATGTGATCAGCTTCCATATCATGGACCACTGGCTGATGGCAGAGGGTGGCCAGCATGTGATACTGTTTCTCTTGCAGCAAGCGCAGCCCGCATAATTAAAACACAGTTAACATAAAACCGGGAAAGAACGTTACTTGCTACGTATCACCTAACTCGCTCAAAAACCCCACCACATGCTGCTGGAAGTCAACAGGTCCTCCAGGCACAGCAAGTGCGTGGAGCGTGTAAACGGCTTTGACAGCGAACAGACCTCTTTCTTCCCCCAGATCCCCAGACCCCTGCCTCCCGTTCCACGCTCTCGCACGTACAAACACATCAGCTGCCGCACAAAAGAGAAAAAGCAGGAATACGCCGCGCTGATTCCCACGGAACGCGAGCTCCCCAGGGCAGCGCGGAGCCGCGGGCGGTGGGAGCTGCCC